ATGAAAAGTACAAAAGAATCCGACAAATGGTTTTCAGAGATATAGTTGTGTACGCGATTGTAGTTTGCGATGCGTAGGCGATACCGTTGACACGATTGCGAAGAAATTTATAGGGGACGTCTAGATAAACCAACTCGCACAATCTGAAAATTTCATAAAAATTTGTGGTGATTAGTGACCGTTAATCGATGATTATTCAGAAATCGTGAGATGCGGTGGGGTGTGATGTAGGTTTCAGAAAAAAAAATTCTTTATCGTGCCATCGTTTCGATCTTTATTGAGATCATCTTCAGGGCCTGGGATTTACATTGTTTAAATTTAACAAATGCATGTAGGATGTGGAAAAAAGTGAATTTATGCATTGCAAAATATTATTTTTTATATTCAATCAAAGTATTTCTGCTCACTCAAAGTGTTTGTTTTATGTGTAATTGTGCCATTCTTGCGTGTAGTGTTGAGAGTGCCAGTGAGATGTTGCTGTTTTTTGTTTACACACGTATATACTTTTTCCCACATCCTACATGTATTTGTTAAATTAAACAATGTTTGTAAATCCCAGGCCCTGAAGATGATCTCAATAAAGATCGAAACGTTGGCACGATAAAGAAAATGTTTTTCTGAAACCTAGATCACACCACACCGCAACTCACGATTTCTAAATAATCATTTCATAAAAATTGGTCCCATGATTTCGGAGTTTTGCCGGTGCAAGAGATACAGACACAGAACACACAGACAGAACCAAATTTTTCAAAAAGGTCTGAAACGCAAAATGCGAGTGGAAATTTTGATTTTGCAGGATTAACTTTTTTTTTACTTCCCGCATGAATACAATGCTTCTCTACCTTTGGTAGCTCAGAAGAAAAATTGTGTAACCAGTCGAAAAACACGTAGTTCCACTCAAAAAGTACAAACCCTCCCAGTTCTTATCCGTCAGCGCTCGATGCACGCGGCTGATGGGGATGGCTACTCGGTATTCCTTCATCAACTCTCTCACATACTCAATCAAACAGACACACAACAAAATACAAATACATAATATACAGTACATAACTCTAGATGGGGAAACACCCCCGTTTCCCTTAAAAATCGGAAAAGGGGGGCGAAACTAGCTCAATGCGTGCCCAAGGAACTTTATATCGGGAGCCATTCCTACTAGCTCCCTATAAGGGGCCAAGGCCTGGCACTCCTCGACAATTGTAACAACTGGGAAAATTTGGGTCAATAGATATTCTTGCCATTGTCTGAAACCTATAGACATTGATTCATGGGACTTTTAAAACCGGGAAGATAAAAAATTCAAAACTTACTGTTTTTAAAGTACAACGGTCCTATCGGTAGTTATGCCTACAATGTTTTTGAGCTTACTTTTATCACAAATTCAATAGTATCCTGTTTCAATCACTAGGCAGTAAAAGTTGAGGACTGAGGTGGCCAAATGGTTAGAGGCTTAGGGTGCCCGATACTTATTTGTCAGGATAGCGGTTCTGGGTTCGAATCCGGGCATTTCCATTAAAATTGTATTACTAAATGTTTCTGACCCCTCGTCCGTGACACGCAGTGAGTAGTTGGATGTTAAGTCCTCTTGTATGGTAGGAAAAAGTTAATAAAGATTTAAGCACTGTGGAGAAATACAAATTCGCGAATAACTTCTTAAATTTAATCTACCTTAATCGTAAACTTAGAAAAATATATAATAATATTGGGCGTTATTTTCTCTGTTACAATGAATAATAATATTTTCAATTACCAATAAAATCATGGTTAATCGTCCTTCTGGGCTGACTTTGCCTATTTAATGAAGGAAAAATAACATGAAAATAAAATACAATAAAACACTTACACTATCTGTTGATCGGAATACCAATTGAATATCATAAAAAAAAGGTTTATATTGAATAAATTATTTGTACTTTTGGTATTTTATTTTTTATTGCCCAAGAATACTTGTTAGTACTTGGGCACATCAATATTTTAACAGAGTACAAATAAAATATTAAATTATGAAATATAAATATTTCAAAATTTTGTATTAACTATACACAATTTCTGTTACAATAAATTATTTGTTTATGGTTTTACCATATTTTACCATCTGAGGGAGTCTAGCACATAAACTTATATAACTAAAATCTCTCTTCTTAGTATTTACAAGTAATTATAATTAGTATTTGCAAAAGGAATACATACTTTCTTCAAAAATTTCAGTAATGTAATAATAGAACATAATTATATAATAATAGCTGAAACATGATTGCAAACATATACATCTCTTATTTATGATTACCTATAATGAACATAACTTAATAATAAAATAAACTAAAGTAAAGTAAATGGAAATATTGAAAGTAAAAATAAATAATAATGAAGTATATTATCTACCACAAGAGATAATAGTAAAAAACAAAACAAATAATAAATGTTTAAGATATAATATTCAGGTCGAAGATGAGCTTTTCACCTATTCAGGGTCCGACAAAAGAAGCCACCTCCACCTCACCAGGTGCCTCTGATTCTGACTCTAAGAGAATAAGCCTCTTTGCAAAAATTTACTAACACAGTCCAATCCTTGCCATTAATATATTCTCGCAGAATCTCACTAGAGAGAGTTTCCCTACCAAAATAGCATTTCCTGACAGCAGCCAGTGCAAGGCAAGTTGCCAAGAAATGGAACAAATCCTCCCGCTCTGTACCACTACAAAGTTCACAGTTAATATCCTGTTGCTTGAAGTGTTTGTAGTTTAAGTTAAACTGATCCCCCCGACACTTAATTATCCACCGCATGCTATCTAATGGTAGCGAGAGATCCATTAGATAATTTGGGGATTTGAAAAGAAGCTCTCTATGGAGTGGGAAACTGTCTGAATTGGCCATAGCTGTGTAATATTGTCTCTTTATATAGTCACAAATGGACCGTCTAACTAGTCTCAAACCTCCACAGTTCAACTCTGTCAATATTGTTCCGGTCTAAGGACAAATCCAAATTAAATTGCATGATATGCCTTATTTCCTTAAACCAATACATTTCTTTATCTACAATCTGCTTGGCAAGGGTCTTCGGGAGTCTATTATCTGGTAGGGATAAAATTCTTATTATGTAATCGAAGTGAAGTTTCACAGTGTAGAGAAAAATCGGCAGGAGACCCATCTCAGCATAGAGGAAGGCTGTGGCGGCAAAATATTTTTTATATAAATTATTCTTTTTATCTCAACCATGAACTTACATAAAGAGAATAATTAATTGGAAGAAGTAACTTGGTCAATTGACCACTAAAACGTTAAATGGATTAATTTTTTATATATTTTTATAAGATTCTTGTAAAATGATTAAGTGTATCCTTTATGCTAATATGCAGCCATCGACTTTTTTCTTGGATGTTTTATACCAACAGAAGTGACTGTATAAATTTCAACTTATAACAAAAAGCATTTTATAAGAGAGCATTCGATTCCATTTGTCTTTTATCCATCATAATACTTAAGTTAATGGATTATAAAGATTTCATTTATTATTACTCATTATCCTCAAGTGATAAGCCTATAGTATACTATTCATTGAAACACAGAATAGTAATTAGTGTTTTTTTTTTCACTTCAATTGACTGACACCATATTTTTCATCTTCAGTATGAGGTAGCATGGGGGCCGCGGTAGCCGAGTGGTTAAGGCGTCAGACTTTCGGCTATTAGATCCCGCGGTCGTGGGTTCGATCCCCACCGTCGCCTCTGGACTTTTTCTGACGCCTAAGGGGACCGGTGGCCGCAATTGAAAGAAATTGACACGGCACTCATCAATGGAAGGGGCGGGATCGGGTCTCAGTGACCCTGAATTTGGTCCCAACCCCCTTCAAAAATGAGTTTCTTCGATGGAAGAACACCGGTACAACGGGGGCTCAAGTTCACATTTGTGTTGCGAGCCCTCCCCCAAAAAATATGGAGCCGGGGATAAAGTACAATAAGCTGTACAGCTCAGCTGCAGTACTCAGGAGGGAACTCCTCCAGTCCCTGGTATCCATTGGAAAAAAAAAAAAAAAAAAATGAGGTAGCATGGTGTTGACATCCCAGACATCCAGGTCACATGCCATGTAGACGATTGTCCACCCATATACCCAAGAGCTTCGGGACGATATCAGAACCCCTTACATGGAATTTATTTTAAAATGTAGACAAAATTTGCTTCTCGAACACTTAGCAAACTTTGATTTGTTGAATGAACATATTTAAGTACATAAGCTCTACTTTAACTTTCAATAACCAACATATTATATTTGATTCTAAATTATATGTGAAGTTATTGTCTGAAATAAGCTGTTTATAAAACAATTAATTAAGGTTTTTTGGTTGAGATAAAAAAATCAATGGCACGAGCGGGATTCGAACCCACGATCTTCGGCTTGATACGCCGCTGCTCTACAACTTGAGCTATGGTGATCCACTCGGACACTAACTTCCCATCTCAACCCCACCTTTTGAATTTTCCCTCCTTTTTGCCATTTTTTAAATGTCGTGTAATTTTTAATAGTTAATTGTAATATATTAATTGGTCAAGCGGACCACGAAATTAGTTAATTTAATGCTGTTTATAAACTTGAACGTGATCTATTGTATGCTTTTAGTTTGTATTCTATCTATTTTCGGCAATAGACAAATATGAAGCTCAAAATGAAAAGATTATCAAATATCTACCAAAGAAAATATTAAGGGCTTTTAAGGTATTCATCATTCAGTATCAAGAATTCGACATTGGAAAATACAGAATATCATATTTTTGCAATTCCTATGTTCCACCAGTTTTGAATTGAATAAGTTCCTCCAAGATGCTTTTCTCTTTCTGACCACAATAATAGTTGCGACTGATATTATTTTAAGTTTAAATAGGGCCAAAAATGGCAAGATGGGATAAAGGTAATTAGTAGACTTGAATAACATGGCCCCAAGTGCCAAAACTGCTGACGAGAAATGGCTGCCTACCCTGGTCTGATACAGAGTCGCCTTTTCCAGGTCATCCAAAGGAGGGACGATTTCGGGGAACCGAGAGAAAACTTCAACAGAGACTGGAGCGACTACAAGAACGGTTTCGGCGATCCGGCCAAAGAGTTTTGGCTTGGAAACGAAAACATCTACATGCTCACGAATAACGAAGAACACATGCTTCGAGTGGAACTCGAAGACTTTGAAGGAAACAAAAGGTACGAGTTTAAAACGAAACCTGTAACGGGATTATAAATGTATGTGTTATTTAGTATAACGTAATAATATTTTGTTGAAGGTATGCACAGTACTCTCACTTCAAGATTTATTCAGAAGGAGAATACTACAAACTCGAAATCGACGGTTACGAAGGCAATGCAGGTGATTCTCTCAATGATCCGTGGTACGGTAGCAACAACAGTCCATTCTCAACATACAATAGGTGAGCAATCGAATAAATCATTTTAATAATGATTACTTTTTAGAAAAAAAAAATAAATAAATAGGATAGGTAATTTAGTCAATTCAGACCATACAATTTTCTCTTTTTTCGCTCTAATTAAAAAATGTATGATCATTTGTCATTGAATGATTTATAAATTGATATTATTTTCAGGGATAACGATAGGTCAAGCCTTAACTGTGCTTCGATGCTGAAGGGAGGATGGTGGTGGAAGTCGTGTGGAAGAGGTCTCAATGGTCTCTATCTTAATGACCCACAAGACATCACTGCAAGACAAGGTGCGACTTTGCAGCATTTAAACAAATGGAAATTTTTCTGTGACATATTTACTAACTTTGTTCTCGATGCTTGTTTTTGTTTCAGGCATCGTTTGGTTCAGATGGAGAGGATGGGATTATACACTTAAGAAGGCATCTATGATGATCAAACCAAAATCTATGATCAACCAGACATAAATAATTACTCTCTCTTCTTTACACAAGCTGAAAACCAACATCAGTTTTGTTTTATAAAAAAAAATTAAACAAATAAAAAAAATTCAAATTTAATTTTAACAGTTTAGCTCAAATTGAAATATTAAAAATACCTCAAAAAAAAAAATTATTTTTTTTGTGCGATGGTCATGAGAAATTTTCCTTTCAACCATAATTTTTATCTTAACAGTTATTTATAGAAATTAATGGTGAAGCACAATTTTTTTCATTTCTATCGTTCTTTAATAATAATTGTAAATATTTTGCACAGATCAATTTATTTTGATAAATTTATCATGGGTATGACAAAATCGATATACCGTGCAACATTTTTTATATTATTATTAAAAATATTTTCTGTAAAATATTTGCCAAATTTCTGATTAATTCCCAGACACGAAGGTACTGAGTGGAATTGAAGAGGCTTATGTACAGAACTAGAATTAAGGAAGCTCTTACTTTTTTTATATTAAGGATAATCAATCCACTTCGGTATCTAACACCAACTTTTCCCTTCTACGCTTGAAAATCGATAGGAACAAAAATAACGAAACATTTCAAAAACTCAACAAACTGTTAAAATGACAAATATTTCATATTAATTAGCAATAAATTTTGATTTAATAGTAAAATTAGTTTACCGTATCGTTAAATAAATAGTGAATATAATACAATACGATATTATTAATATTACAAAATTTAAGGTTGCAGTTAAATTATAATAAGGATGGTGTATTTTGAATTTCCTATTATGAATAACAGTAAGAGAATATTCATTAAGTATTATTAGATTTTAAGTCGTACGTGCTCTAATTTAATTAGCTCTCTGTTAAATTACTCGTAAAATGTTTTCAGTTTCGGTCTTAATACTTTATTCAAAATGTTTCAAGCTTTAGATAGTTATAATTTATTTCCCCAAAATTTATTGTTCTCTATTATACAAAATTGTATTGCAATACCATCAAGCTCATTAAGTTCACATTAGAAATATTTTGTAAGTAAATTTGTAAATTTCTTTAAAGTGTGACATTTGACATGCCTTTTTTTTTTTAATGTTTTATTTTGTCAAGTTACTAATAGCATAATTATCAAGTTGCAATATCAAGTACCTTAGTTAATATATTTCACACTTTGTATGATAATATTTTGGGTAAAATTGTAAATAGCAAGTGATGTATAAAGAGACTATATTTTTAATTAGTAGTTTATTTAAATAATCCCAACTTTTGACAATCATATATCTATAAAATGCATTAAATAAATTCATTAAGAGGATTATAATGAAATACAATGCAAAGTTTCCTGAGAGAATATCAGAAAACTTTAATTTTTTAGGTTAATTAGCAATTAATACAATTACTGGAAGAAAGGACCTCACTATTGCACATCAAGGGTAAGAAGCCAATAATCAGTTTATATTGTGCTGTAAGTTAAGTTAATTTTGTGAAATAAATAAAACAACAATCATTTTGTAATTTAATATAAATTTGCAATTTTTTATTAAATATGTTTTATTATAAATTTATTGAAATGGATTTTATTGAAAAAGATTATCTACCGAGCCATTAGAAGCCTGCATGGTGTGCCACATGTCTCAACCCCCTGCCAACATAGTATCTGTAAATGTGCTATTTAATTAATTCTATTATTTAATGCTATTAAAAATACTCCCTCCTCTATACTTCAGTAATCTTTCTATTCCTGTTGTGATCCATGTACAATACTCAGACTGTACCTCGTAAAACAACTTCCATGGAATCCTTGTACAACGCTCAAATGTAAAAATACAAGATTCATTCTGCTAAAAAGACTACTTGGCAAACGATCGAAACTTACATTAACATACAAAAAAAGACACGGACTTGAACTGTACAGAACCGTTGAGCATTCCAATCTTAACAAACTACAAACCTTGCAATCTAAAATTGTCAGAACAACTGATAATCTATATATTGTATATAGTAGTTATAATTGACAACAGTAATTAGTTCAATTAACTATACTATTTATCTAAGTTCTTGGCTGAGATGAAAAAGTCACGAGTGGAATTCGAGCCGAAGGTCATGGGTTCGAATCCTGCTTATGACACTAACTTTTTCATCTCAACTTAGAACTTAGATAAAAACTATAAACTATTGATAATGTTATGTCTTGAACCATAAAATTCAAACCGACTTAAAAATCGTATCTAACCTTGCCTAATTCCATTACAAAAAATTTTCATTCTAAATTAACCTACCTAAAATTCATCATCAACATGAAAAAGTCACAAGAGGAATTCGAGCCGAAGGTCATGGGTTCGAATCCTGTTTATGATACTAACTTTTACATCTCAATTTAGAACTTAGATAAAAAGTATAAACTATTTTGATTATGTTATGTCTTGAACCATAAAATTCAAACCGACTTAAAAATTGTATCTAACCTTGCCTAATTACATTACAAAAAATTTTCATTCTAAATTAACCTATCTAAAAGTCATCATCATCATGAAAAAGTCACGAGTGGAATTCGAGCCGAAGGTCATGGGTTCGAATCCTAACTTTTTCATCTCAACTTAGAACTTTGATAAAAAGTATAAACTATTTTGATTATGTTATGTCTTGAACCATAAAATTCAAACCGACTTAAAAATCATATCTAACCTTGCCTAATTCCATTACAAAAAATTTTCAATTCTTAACCTACCTAAAATTCATCATCAACATGGAAAAGTTTAATTGATTTATCAACTTTTGGATGTGTACAGATCCATGAAGCTCCTATCAGGTTGCATCATAGGTACTTATCAGTGTGGTGTCAAAGAAGCATGCACAAATATGTTGAGGGTAGGCCATGCATGTATGTTCATGCACCCATGAGGCAGACCCCATTGGAAACAAACAATTACAAAAATCATTTTTATTTATAAAAATTCATTTCATATGAAAAAGCACTGATCTCCAATAACTAATTTTTTTATATAGAATTCAAAAATACAATTATCCCAACACTCGTCTATGACCTATTTTGAAATTAATGATGCAGATCCGAAAATCTAAATCTGGCAATGTCGCCGTCACCAACTCCTCCCCACCACCACTCCACCAAAATGGGCCTGATGGCGAACGCTTCGTCTCCACACACCCCTCTAGCTTCGTGGGGTCCACAGTCACTTCTGGAACAGGTCACTTGACCTGCCTCCACTTCTTTTCTCCCTCAGCCTCCTTTCAAAACGATCAAACCCAACAAATTTGGCAACACCACCGCCTCCTCCCCCAGAACATTTATAGTTCCACTACTTACGCCAAGTTAAGAATATTATCTTAAGTTCTTCTGTTGCCTACATTCATAAATGCATTAAAAGTTGAACTCTAGAGAAAAGCCAATTTTTTCCTACATTGCTGAAATTTTCAAACCAAATCAAAACATTAGTGACATGGTACTGGAAGTTAACCAGTTTGGAATAAGAAAATATAAAGCTGGTTATGAAAAAATAGTGTAAAGAATGTGTGGTGATTAATGATCGTTAATCGATAATTATTCAGAAATCGTGAGATGCAGTCTGGTGTGATGTAGGTTTCAGAAAAACATTTTCTTTATCCTGCCAACGTTTCGATCTTTTTTGAGATCATCTTCAGGCTCAAAGTGTTTGCCTTCTGTGTAATTGTGCCATTCTTGCGTGTTGTGTTGAGAGTGCCTTTGATGCTCTTGGTGATTTCTATGTTTAAAATGTTTCGTTTGAAATTTATTGTGGCTTTGTACGTCGTTAATTCTGGTGTTTGGCTGTGTTAGTGTGGCATTTGTGAAGTTAAAATTGTTTTTGATGTGAGTAGGAAATATCTTGTGTTGTCTGCATTTCAGCAAAAAAGTTGATAGCCTCTGAAACCTACATCACACCAGACTGCATTTCTCGATTTCTGAATAATTAGTGTAAAGGATTTAAAACTTACCTGCTAAAAGGACTCTAGGGAAATATTACTAGAGAAATATTTTAAAAGTTTTAAAAAAATTCTGTTAATCTACTATCTCATACCTATTTAATTCTGCAATCAGACTAAAATATGCTCCGGGAGTATCAGTAAGTTTGCAAAAGTCAAGGTAGTTGTTGAGGGGAAAGAAACGGAACTATAAAAAGCTAAAACAATTTCATCAATAGTAAAAATGTATTATTAATAATACACAAATTAAAAAATTAATACATGTTTGAAATCAAATATTTCATTAAAACAGTTTTTCTTTTATTTATTTTTTTAGTAAAAAGCTAAAGTAAAAATGACTTGTTTTTGTCGAGGTGTGTTTTTACATCAGGATAATTTATTCAAGAAGACTGAAAATTAAATAATACTAAAAAGTAAGTACAAATATAACATCATTATAATTTACTTGTACTGTGTTAGGTACCTTTTTTAATATTGTTAAGTTATTTAACAAAACTGAAATTGCATATCGGTTACATGTTTTTACTTCATAATTCTAGTAGCATTGTTCATTTTATTAATTAATACTGAATATATTATAACATGCTGACTAAGGAAAACTTTAACGATATTTATTAAAATAATACGAGCAAAATAATTTTCTATTATATATTTCATTTTATATTCGCCATTTTATAGTCATGACTGACACTTGACTTTAAAACAACAAAGAAAAATATGCATTTGGTAATTATATATTTACAAGAAAATTAAGCATATAAGAAACACTAAAATATTAGAAAAAGTGATATGTAATGAATTTAATTATAATTATTAACTGATTTTTTTTTAATATATTAACATCATATATTTTAACTCTACAAAAGTACATTGTAAAAAATACTTTGGCACATTTCTTACGATGCCTATATCAGAAAATAACAGAAATCCATATTATGAAATTTAACAATATAAGCTAAAATTTGTAATTAAATAACCATTTTTATGTTCTATTAAATTATGTCCTTTTTTGGACTATGGTATCACAATCATAAGCCAAAAGGTACATTCTCTCTTATTGGATAACTAGTAAACACTTTTTGATAAAGTTTAAAATATTATTTAAAAATTTAAGCATTAACCTTTGTACATTTGTTTAATTGAATTGAATATATTTATACATTTTAAACATTATTATTCGCTAATGTATATATACAATATCACACAATTCCATAGCATAGAATATTGTGCACAACACATTGACAAAGAAATATTAATTTTTTTGTAAGTTTTTTAATTGAAACGTAATACTCTAATAATCAAAATTAAAATTCAAAATTTGTAGCTTGACAATCCTCAATCAACCTGGTCTGTCTATTCTTACCGTTTGTGTCAAATGCCGTGACCACCACAAAACTGGCAAAATGATATCACATTCTGCAAAAATAGACCTACCAAGATGATGAAAGCTTCAAGCTATGGGCAAGTGTTTTACAATAGCATAACATCCAACAAAGCTGCGCATTAAAATAATAATTTAAATCAATACTGCCTTTGAACATATAATAAAAATAAATAAATATTTGATAAACATATAAAACTAGCGATACATACAGAGTTTACGGAGTTAGGCCAACAATATTTCAATAAGGTAAAATTTAAGAGCTAAATGGTAAGATATGCTCTCGGTATAAAATAACACTTAAGCTTATTTCATTTTTATAAATATATATAACTATCAAAGAGTGATTGTTTTGCTTATAGATTCATTGATTGCAGTATCACAACTTACCTTATGCACCAATAATTTTTTTAACAGAGTAACCAGGTATTGCGTAGAAAAATAAAAAGAACATCATCATCACGGCTAAAATGATGAAAAACTTAAGAATTCTCCATTTATAATTGTGCCAGACAATATAACGGATAGATTTAAGAGGGTTCAAAAACCACATAAACGAAGCGTCTGGTCGGCTGAAAGAGCAATAAAAATACAAATAATTGACAATTTTCAGATGCATTAATTTCTGTAAAAAATTATATCAAACTCACTTAGGTTTATCTAGAGGATCTGGCTCATTTCTGCCGAGACCAGCTGGATTTTTTTCTGCTTCTTCTTGTGTCAATAAATGTATTTCTGCTTCTACTTTTCCCTGAAAAATATCAACTTGTAATTACAATGCTAAAATATGGAAACTATAAAAACTATCAGCAGAAATGCCACATGGCCCAAAGAATTCTGTAAGCCCGGTGGATGCCAAAAATAATTTAAAAAGTTTTTTTTTTTTATAAATTATAAAAGGCGATCAACCGCGTTGGGACATTTTCTGCCTTAAAAAAACTTTCAAACGCCCCCATTAGCGGGAACCAGGGCCCCGGCAGCATCACACGCCTCGGACACCCCCTCACAACCTCCACCAGGTGGGCACCCAAACCGCACCCCAAGACACCTCCCAACATTGAGTGGATTACAGATTATTACATACTGAACTTGAATGATTTTTTATTAAATTATTTTATCTTCATATTTCCAAAATTAGTTTAGTTTTTTTAAGGAAAGTTTCTAGTTTGTTTATTTGGTCGAAGTCATCACCAAGCGAGTCTTTGAGATTGGTTGGAATTTCCAACTGATGTCTTTCTGCTACATATTTTTTGCAATTTGTTTGATAAATTAGTTTTTAAATAGATTGCATAATTGGGCATATTGTTGGTAAAGGATAATATTCTTTTCACAGCGAATCATTAAAATTTTTCTAAACCTATACTCTACATTCCAAAATTTGAGCTACATAACATGCCAAGTTCTATTACTTACTCTCACTTCTAATTTGGCTAGTTTTATTTTTTCCATCAAATGTATCGTGAAATCACTGATACCCTCAAATATGTATATGTTTCAACTATTTCTAACATTTCATTTTTAATTTAACATCTTTCAGTCATAATTACGTTTATTATTTTTAAATATAATATTTTTTTATTTAGCTATATTAACTTTTAAGTTTCTAGTAATCACACTACGTTTCTAAATCTTCTACCATTTATCTGCCAATAATACCACATCATCAGCATATGTAAAAGTTTTACATTATATCGCTTGTGACTTTGCTCCAATGGGCTCAAGAGTGTTTCACCGTGAGAAGTTGTATCCGGCATTGCTTCAGAGGGCACCACACCTTAAACGGATAAATGCATATGGTCGCATTTGATGGCTTTGCACACATGGTTTTTCCATCTAGAATGAATGTATTTATTAGCATGTGTGTTTGAGTGAATGGGTGTGTGACGTCAGGTCCGGTGTAAAACCCGGTTCCACCTGAATTTTTAATTGCAAATATTTACGAATGTTTCTAATCGGTGTGAATATATTTATTAGTGTGAATGAACAGAATATCCAGTGCGTGAGATTCATCAAACTTAGGTGTAGATGAGTTCAGAGCCTTTTCACCAAAATGCTAATAAAAAATGATTGAGTCCCAGAAGTTCATGGGATAACAAAAACAAACATAGAATCCTCCATCGCAGAATGGATCCAAACAAAACAAAGAGAGAAGTGGATAAACTCTAGCGGTGCTAGACATAGTAAACTTATAATGAAACAACCCTCACCCAAATTGGCAAAAACACTGCTACAATTGGAGAGGGCAAAACTCAGAGGAGTGGTAGGACTACTAACCGGTCACTGGTATCTGAGAAAACATATACACAACATGGGTATATACAGCGAAGATCCCATTTGCAGATTATGTAATGAGGAGGAGGAAACAGCCACCCATATCATATTCGAATGCAAAGCGACAGATCAATGGAGGTTTAACCTAACGTACGAAAAAGACTCAGGGAACCAAATTGCAGCAATATCAGTCAATGATCTGATACTTCTGAGAAGAAGGATTGAGTCTATTGACTAAACTAGGGAACTGGGAAGGTACAATAAGCCAGAAGGCTGCAGTGTCTGGGGAATACAAGCCCCGCTTCCCAGCATCCCTTCCACCATACCATACCCAGAAGTTCAATCGAAAATGTAAAATCACCAGACCCTCATATTGGAGAGCCAAATTTTGCCAGAATATTGTTCTTTACACTTATTTCTACAACGTTTATTAGACTTTTCTGTACTTACAGTCAATTCCATTTCTTCGTTTTCCTTCTTAACATAAAAAGGCCACCAGCCTTTTACTCGTTTAGCTTTGAAAATGTTCACAACAGGTACAGTACCATCTGTTTTCAGCATATCGAGAGTGCAGAGCTTGGCAGATTTTGCTCCACGAGGAAATGTATTTAGATCCAGTGTAATAGCACCTGTAAAATAAAACTTTATAGAACACAATCAACAATACAACGCTGTTTACAATAGCAGTTTACAAACCTAAAAAGTCATCTGCTGAAAAATGGTCGGCATCCCAAACCTGGAGTTCGAGCCGAGCTGGAATTTTACTCTCTGTCTCGTCCCAGCTAAATAACGACTCTTTTTTCGATATGACAATTTTCTGCTCGGCTACAAGATATTGAAACGGAAAAACAAATCTCCAATTAAAATTTCCTTCTCCGGTCAATGATCTGTAGTGAATATCTGTGCACTGGCAGTCTTCTTGTCCTTTGAGCCATCTGTTGATAAAAATATATCACTTAAATGGATAATATGAATAAAACGAGGAAATAAATACCCTTTTACGTAGATATCTGACATTTTTTCTCCAGTAAAAAATGCATCATCTTCCAGTACAACTTCATCGGTGTTCCATATAATTACTCTGAGTTCGTAGGACTTTGGCTTTCTCGGAGAAATATCCAACGGAGGGCCAGGAGCTGGCATGTCCATTGGAAACATATCAACCCACATTTCTAGTTTACCCTAATAAATAAATTACATTATTCAGATGTCCTAAAGCAATCACTATCACGATAAAACCTGTTCGATTCCAGGTTTGTCGGGATTGTAAAGTGGTCTAGTTTCTACATGCTCTGGAACAAGATGACATCCAATTCTAGGCACTTCTTGCCAATTGTGAAGAACTCCCAGAGCCATTTCCTCCTCACTGCCTATAAATATAAATTTAAAAAATATTATACTGTAGAAATAAATTTACAAGACAAGTACCTCGAATTCCGCATATTGCCATTTCTGGATCTGATTGAAGGCAAAATGTTTTTCCTCCGACTTTAACTCTATCCGCCAGATAAACAGGTGGATCTAACTTTCCCTCTTTACAGAGCCTTGCTAAAATTTGCGTCGGTTTCATCGGATCTCGCCACTGATTGTACCCACCTCTTCAAATCATATATAAAACGATTACAAGATATATTTCGAACAAATACTTTAACATTTTAAAATTACACATCGTAAGATGATGTTATCCCGCATGTTGCTCTATGACGGCTGTAAAACCTATTCTCTAAATCAATTTTAGTCTCCCCTATCAGGTCATCGGCTCCGACAAGGTCCCAATCCAACACTTGAACCGTAAGCATAGAATCCTGAGGAAATGTTGCCTCAATTTCAAAACACCTACAAAACAAAACTTTTTTTTTGTTCCACAAATAATATTTATACCAAAAGTGCACATAAATTGCTAAAACAGGTATTACAAATGTAAGAAAATAATAATATGCTATAGGAAATAAATATAAAACTGGTACACTTACTTGCCAAAGACAGGATTTAATTGTTTTGAAATATAATTTTCTTTGTCTGCCATTCTTTTTGTTCCTAATTGTAAAACTATATAAGGGTCAGCCTTTCCATTTAAATCCATCGGATGTAAGTCTGTCGCTTTGACTATGTAGACTCTTACAAGAACATGTATCGGTTCGTTAGATGGCAATCCTTGGAAGAAGCCAAACTGTGGGTCAAATCCCATGACTGTATGATCCACGGTATCTTTAGGCAACGGCCATCGATATATTTTTATTGCACCCTAAAATCGTAGAATATTGTTTAATTTTGTAAAAGAAAATATTAAATATGTAGCACCTTGAAAATTCCAACAATCCTGCTTTCATCTTCACTTTCATCGCCCGTTTTTTTACCTCTGTACAATTCAAAACTGCTCAACCATTCATTGAATCCTTCAAATTCGGGCTGACTCTCAAGTTCACTTGTGTATATCTAAAATTGCAATTTATATTTTTTTCTATCGGTATTGTTTATTATATTCATCATTATTATGAACATTATTTATTAACTAACTTTCAATTTTGAAGTATTAAGCTCTCTTGGCGGCCGACCTGATTTAGGGCTTAACTTTGCCGCAAGTTTAGCACTGATTTTACCTTTTTTGTCATTTAATGAGCCCATCTCAGCCTGAGGTATTGAACCATTATTTAATTGTAACTGTTGATCTTTCCTTGCATCCTTTCCTTCCTAAATTTGAACATTTATTTATTTTATATAGAGGCAAAGCCTATTAAAAATGTAATAAAAATATACATATTTATATTATACAAATAGAATAAAGATAAAGACAATAGAATATACAATCGGATAGGTATAGAATATAAAAATTAATAGCAAATGTGAATAATATAGAAATATTAAAATATAAATTAATATAGGGAATATGAAACACTGGGTTATTTGAGGAATAGTTGTTGGCATTTAAAGAGCAATAGTTTGTCACCAAAGTCAAGATCTGTACTTGGGGGGGGGGGGTTGTGGTAAAGAAGAAAGTACATTTTGTGTAACGTGGAATTCAGGAGAGATGATCATATTGTTGAGGAGTTTGTATAGAAACATGAGGTAAAAGTAGGTTCGTTTATTCTTGAAAGCCTAACAGGGTGTAAAGTCGAGGATTTTGAATTTATAGGTTATATGTCTTAGGAATTTATTTTGAACTAAATTACATGATTTGATATTATTATTATTATTGAATGAAAAAGAGCAAACTACAAAGGCATAATCTAGATAGGACTGTACAAAGGAACAGATTTAGATTTTGAGGTCATCAGTGAATAGAAAGAAATAGTTTGATACAGCGCTTGAAGTCGTTGGTGTAAAGGTTAAAGAGAAGAGGTGAAAAGTGACCACCTTGTGAGCACACCACAGGTGACTTCTTTTGAGAAGTATCTATTTAAATATGTGTGGAGTGACTTATACTTCTATATTTAAACAGCTTTACATGTTTTATACCTGAATTAGGGCTTCAACACTGGCGAAATATTTTGTCCACCAGTCTCTGCTTTCTTGATCTTCATCATTATTAATTAATATACTATTTCTTTTCTTCCTTTTGTTTAATTCTAACTTATCGTCTTTTTTTATACTGCTCTGTGTTCCCTGAAAATAAAATGAGTTCATGTTTCGACAGTTTTCAACGAAAATTTACTTATTTGTTACATATGAGATGAGAATAGTCGTATCTCTTGGCAGTAATGGTTCATTTTCCCTAGCGTAAATTGATCCATTCAAGATGGGTGAAGTGGGTTTAATCTGATGTTCCATGTTGTCTTGAGCTATTTTGATTTTATCGATTTAGTGCCAATATGTATAAACAAATTAAAAAATTAATCTACCCTGATTAAGTTGTTGTTGAGCAATCTTTTTGTCTTCGGCTTCACGCTGTTTCTTCGTTTGAGGTATATACGTATACTTGAGAACTGAATTGATCATGTGAGTTCCCACAAGCGTAAACCGTCCAAAACTTCTACAATCAACAGTCCTTATCGTCAATGGCGGCTGGTATAATTCTTGTTCGGGTAACTCCTGATTTGAAATTGACATGATCATTTAGAGCAATTGTTAAGTCTTAAGATAAAATATATACCAGCTCTAAGTATTTGACCGGAGTAGAAAAATTTGGGTTCTTCTTAGCATTAAGGATCACTGAAGAATGAAGAATGTGGCCAGCACATTCAATGTCCACTCGAGGTTTATCTACAGTGAGTAAATGCACCCTTTTCAAATCCCTCAGACCCCAAAACAACACTTCCAGGCTAAAAAATATACATTAATATATTCTAATTTGCAATTAAGAAAAAAAATGAACAGATATAATACCGATAGTTTGCTAAAGTAGGTCTAATTCCACAAGGCACAGGAAGAATTGGACCCGTTTCATCCTGCAAATGTGCAGCGGCTATGTTTGGTGGTGTTTTAGCAGGAGGTAAATCTGGAAGTTCTCCACCAGCGACTAGCTGAAAAAAAAATTATATAATCTTGAAGGGCGTAATAAAATTAATACTACCTCTAGCATTTCAAAAGTAGCAAGTAGTTCTCCAGCTCTTTCTTGCCCTCGGTATATTTCAAACCATTCTAGGCTAGGTGGAAAATCTGGCTTGGTGTACGCTTCCTCCAACAATTTCACATGAGGTTTAGCAACAGCCCTCCCGATGAACTCAGATTTACCCTGAATCACCATTAATTATTTGCCTTTTGTTCTGTAGTTTTAAATGAATGAAATGAATGAAGCTCACTATGAGAACTAATGATTTATTTGAGATTTAAAATTGTTACAATTCAATGTATATCTATAGCAAGGCACTACAATGAAATTGCTATTCTAAGCATTCATCTATTCAACTAACATTCATAGTGAACTCAGTGGAAATTGTACATTTCAAGTTTCTTCCTTGAAACATCCTTTTTCCAAAACTAGAATTCTTACCACCTTATCTTGATCAAATATTTCAATTATTATGGTAGGCGGTTCATTTTTTATTTCCTCTTTAGTCCCATATACTAGAATCTCGTCAAAAACCAAAAGCTCATCCCATGTAGGGCTTAGAGTTTCATCTATGACCTACAATAAAGCAATTAATGTACATTTTTGACCCATTTATTGATATTATTAATAATTTACTTGAGTAGTTCTGCAATATTCGCCAACAATAACTCGAGCAAATGGGTCGGATAATCCCGACGCATCCGATCCTATCAGAGATCTTGCTTGATACATGTAAGCTCTAACTTGGAAAGACTAAAATCGATACGAATCACAAGTAATGTTAAAATAAAATATAGATAATTAGAAAAGCATACATATTTTTCCAGATAATGAATAACCGAAGGAGGCATCGCATGAGGTCGGTCTGCATTTTTTATTTCGTGCGATATTTGGTATCCTTTAGTAAGACCATTGACAAAATTTTTTTTGTGCTTTACAAGGCCGAGCCAGAAAAATATCTGTAATTTAGCCGGTACTATCCAACCACCGGCTCCAACACCTTTTTTCCCTGGTAACTAAGGTTAAAAAAAAAAAAATATGAAGCATTCATCGGCTGATATATTTGTCTAATGTACAAGAAATACCTTCAAAAATAAACTATGAACTTTAGAACAGTGCCGGCCACATTCTTCTTCAATCGGTGAATAAATAATATCCCTTGCTGAAATCCTTTGATAAGCAGTCCTCTTTCCATTGCTTACAAGCCAAACAAAAACATCTGGTAGTGCGTGTTGTGGCTGAAAAATTATACTAATAAATAAATTTACTCACTACCATATTATGGAATAAACTTACATCTTCGACTATAAGCTTGAGCTTTTGTAAATAAGATTGCGCAGTCTTATATCTCTCTTTAAAAGAATGTTTTGTGACTAATGCTTTAAGATTACGAGCCATGGTCCCAATATTTTCCTAAATATATCATTTTTATAAAAATGTTATTGCTGAAGATTCAACATAGAACAATGTTCATACTTACAACTGTGGAAATGCAATGTTTTAATCTATTTTTATCCAATCTGGTGTACCCCAGGGCACCACTGCTAGTCGCAAGAGTGACATACCGATGGGAGGCCGTGCATAAATCTTCTAAAACTGTTTTTAACTTAGCCTCTGGTTGGCCATCGCTCAAGCTAAGACTTTCAATCGATGAAACTTCTGACAAACCATCTTCCTGCATGGAATATATATATAATATTTATCTTATTATTATACTAATTTCTTAGTTAATGCACACCAATGTTTCAACGATTTTGGCAAGCATATTACTGTTGTACATCCTTCTCCTTAAATCAGGCCACGGTGCTCTTAAATGCATGCAGGGCTTGTCATCCCAGTAAGGAAGAAAATAATACAATCTGTCATGTGTCATCGGTTTGGTCTTTGGCGTCGTACTCGCCCAGTTAATTATGTCAGTCTTTACAGATTCTACAAATATACCACAGAAAAATTAAAACTATTATTTCCATTTTGAATAGAAATACATGGAAGTAATGATGTGATTGATTTTCTTTTTACCAAGATTATCTTCGCTATCGCTTTCTGGTGATTCTTGACTTGTTTGATTGTGTCCATCAATTGTATTACCAGCATTACCAATACTTAGCTCAAAAAACATTGGTTTCTCTCCTAATTTTTTATCTATCATAGACGCTTCCAAGATGGTAGCAAATAAAAAATATTCCTCTACTTTACCATACATAGTCTAAAACATAAAATTTACCAAAAGAAAATAAATTTTTTGTATGTACAACAGCCTTACTTCTGAAATTGGTGAAATCGGCTCAACGAAAACTTGTGATGTGCTAATATCAACGGCATCAGATATCTCAGTTCGGATGGCGATCAAAAGCCTTGCTCTGTACGAAACACCTTCACCCAGCCCTGTGTTCAACCCAGAATGCTGGTCGATTATCGAATAATCTCTTGTAGATCCGTACATGTGCATGAAAGTTGGACCAAGGGTTGGAAGAAAACCTTTGTCGCCATCATTTGATATATTCTTCAAATCAATAAAATGAGTCGCTATTACAGAACTGACAGGATCGCTGTCCCGTATTTGAATTTTTATTCTCTGGCATAATGGAGGGAACATTTCTGTAAACACAATCTGCTCATTCCAGACAGGAGCGTAACTGCATTTTTTCACTGAAGTTTTACCCTTGAAAATACAATTAAAAACACAAAGACAAAATAATTATACAAGTTAGGGTGTCACTTACGGTTAGCCCAGCAAATGAAACTTGAACATAAGGGTCCACTAAGTCTTTAGATTCTCCCATAAATGCCTTTTTGACATTTGCAATGATGGATGAATTCATTTTTGGTAGTCCATCGGCTCTGTAAATTCTAATAATGTATCGCGCCCTTTGCCTCTCAATTGGGACCCCGTCTGGTAGAAGTAGATTTCTATTGGCAATTTAAAATATGAACAAAATGCATTTATGGTTTAAAAACGGCTAACTCACGCTTCGATATTGTCGTCATCCTTTTCACTTTTTGATGGGATCCTGACTGTATCACCTTTGCCGATCACACTAATATCACATTTAAGATAGCCCTTTGGGCCGCCTGCAATATCGTCAGGATCTGTCAAGAGTGCCCATTTGTGGAAGAACTGGTGTTCTGCAAAGGGAATTTCAATATACTGTGCGAACCACATTTTCGGCATGTAATGCAAAATGAAATGCGGGTGACAATCCAACTGTGCATCGTATTAAAATTATAATGACTATGAAGCTAAATGCTAAAGAGACAATCAACATTATAAAAGTGTATATGTACAACAACTGCTAAACTAATGTGCACTAAAAGCTTTTTCTCACAGCCATCAACTAGGTAACAGTTATGTATAAAAAAAGGTATTGGTTTATTTAATTAAAAACTTGAGGAAATTGTTTAAATTTATCATGTACTCATTAAACCTAAACAAATTACATATATGTTAGGCAGCTAAAAAAGTTGAACTAACTAAACCTGCCAAAGACTAATATAATTTCACCAGATTTCCAAAAATCAAATCCCTTTCCAAAAAATACCTCCTTTAACTCATTTAAAAAGTATATATAATTTAAAATGATCTCTTCTCTCATAAGCTTATATTTCAAGATTATGCTTTGTTATATAATTTTTTTTAATTCCCCTTTTTTTAACTAAAATTATTAGGACAGAAGAAATCATACCGAAATATGTATATCCAAATCTCACATTTTAGCATCACATATCTTGTATTTATAAAAAAATTTATGTATAAGTGATATTATAAATTAATTTCATTACAATTAATTAAGGTTTTAAGTTGAGATGAAAAAAAGTTAATGGCACGAGAGGGATTCGAACCCACGACCTTCGGCTAGATACGCCGCTGCTCTACCACCTGAGCTATCGTGACCTCGATCCGCTCGGACATCAACTCCCCATCTCAACCCCACCTTCTGAGTTTTGAGATGGGGAGTTGATGTCCGAGCGGATCGAGGTCACGATAGCTCAGGTGGTAGAGCAGCGGCGTATCTAGCCGAAGGTCGTGGGTTCGAATCCCTCTCGTGCCATTAACTTTTTTTCATCTCAACTAAAAACCTTAATTAATTGTAATGATTTAATTGGTCAAGTGGGCCACGAAATTAGTGAATTAATTTCATTCTTGTCAACGGTAGTGCTACTATCCTATAAATGTAAGTATATCAAATAAAGTGCATTGGTTGAAAAAAAATATTGCCCACATAAAAAGTTACACTGGGTTGCAAATGTGCTCTGTGAATTGCTCAACAAGATAAAATGCTCAGACTTAACTAGTTTTTAAAATAAAAAAATAACTTGTTTCTATTTTAAAACACAACGACAATCCTACTTTTTACTTTCATTTAAACTAATAATTTAATATTTAAATTAATAAACAGTTAAACTGGTATTTTAGTTTATACAACATTGTGATGTATATTTTATAGATTGTTTAGCGTATGGGAAGATAAATTAAGTAACTCCAGCTAAAACAGCTTAAAAAAAGTGTATGCACTGTATACCAAATTAAATTAATATAGACAGAAATATGTGAATTTTACAAATCTTTTCTCAGAATTAAAAAAGAACATACACTTTAAAACTCATAAGTAACAGATTAACTTCTAATGAGAAAGACTAATTTGAACCCAAGGTGTTCTAAATTAATTTTCTATTGGATATTTAGGATCTAAAGTTTACTACCTGTTTGTTGCCAAACAGTGGCGACATCAAGTTTGAAACTGCCCAACATTTTGTCAGTCCTCAAGATATTCCTGGATTGCATGACCTTCATCCAGAGCAAGTTAGATAGAAATAAGAGATATAAAGGTAATACACATACACAAAAACAAAGTAGGCAAAAAATTAATGTTAAGAGGTATATAAAATGAAAACGGAAATGTAAAAACAAAAACAGAACAATGGTGCAAATGTGTTAAAATGCTTGAGGTAGTATTATGATTTTCTCGAAAGATGGAATAATCAGTCGGCATAAAAAAATTTCAATTGTATTCATATTTCATGACACCAAGAGACCATCTTTCGGTAAAACCATGACATTTATATGGGTAAATTGACTACCCTCTGCATCATAGACTGTCCGTAGATCTATCTTGAAAGATCCCACAATCGTTCCTGATCTCAACAACTTCCTAGAGTGTAAAACCTATAACATATCAAATTTCATCCGACCCATCTATTAATAATAGCAAACGGTTTACTCCATAAAAAGAGCTGAAATTTAATCATGCATATTCAATCTTAAGGTTGAAGTTGCATTTTTTTAAATAGATTTTTATTTATTATCAGAATTATTAATACTGGGTGTTGTTATACCAGTTAAACAAAATATTAATTTGGGTTCATTTACCTATTGGATCTAGTGTAAATTTTTAAACACGAATTACTTATGATGGGCCATTTTTTTAGGAATGAAAAGATGGTCTAAACTCTAGCAGAAAAAAAATATGTCACGATCAGCAGGGCTCATTAAACTCTATAATTAATATTTTGAATTGATGTTGAATTTAATGTATAAATTATAGTTTGTAAAGCCTTGATAATGGTAATACAATCATCAAAAGATAAGGAATAAAATCTTCTATTAGACCATACTTTCCATCCCACATTTTTATCTAGAAATATTACTGTTAAATAATGTTAAATATAAATTTCATTTATAATTGCATAACAGGTATATTATTAGGTAAATATTAGAAAATATAATTTTATTTAAGTGTGATTTATGCTATTTGACATGTAATATACTAAATTATAGTTAATTGCTGAAGGAGAGTGAATGAATTTTTCCATTATCCCACTGAAAAATCAATTTTTTTATTACACCTAATATAGTAAATTTTTAAACGACTTAATTATAGCAGATTAATACATATTTGTAGAAACAGACGCTTCAAAGTTGACTTAACTGAGTTAAAAATCAATAATTTCCATGTTTAATCGTTGTCCCACATTTTTATATCTCAGGCAAAGTTGCAAAAGTTTTAATGCCCAAAAAACTTAAATAATTTTTATAAGGAAATGAAAATTTAAAAAATTACATATATGTACATACATAATGTTAAGTACTTACAGAAAGAGTGATGATTTTATCAAACAGCATTACTGCAGGCATGTGAAAATCGAAAACAAAATACTGAAAAGTATTAACGTTAATAATGAAAAATAAATTTGTAAAATGACTGGTTAAATTGTTGTCTTACTTCGTTATAATATGGGCAGTTGGTGCTCTCCTTTACGCTCGTGTATTTTTTCGTGTCTCCAACTTGTACACAAACGACCGGATCCATGTTTAAACCTGCTAATTGCCGTGCCTCGATGATCGTAATGCACACCTGGAAGTCCTGGGACTTAAGCACACTTTGCCATGCGTTCAGAGCATTGTCGTGCTTCACTATCCTGCGTTAAATGCATTAAAATAAAGATTGCAATACTGAAAAAATATAAATTTTGTTACTTTTTAGTAGGAATGGTCTGGGTGTTATTTGACATGGCAGATTCATTGGATGAAAGCGATGACATAGACGAACTCCGATGTTCTCGATGTATGAGTGGTTCATACTGTTCGCTACAATTGCCCCCGCCAGCATCAGTACTTGTTTGTGCCAGTAATCTTCTACTTTTTTTATGTCTCCCAAGCCGCATGAGAGCTTTAACACTGGATTTTAGTGTCCCCACCTTACTGTTTGGGGACAATAGTACATATAAGTTATGTTTTTTATTGCAAAAAAAAATTTATTAATAAACTGAATAATTCAGGTTTCTAATCATTAACAATAAAATTTTTTGTCTGTATTAAAGTTTTCAGCCATCTTCAGCTCTCTTACCTTGGGGATTGTTCAGGTGAAGGTTCGTGGCTGTTCCAAGACCCTCTTCTCGTCATACTCCTTTCGATGTTTGCAATGTTCTGCTCTATATCGACCAGCATTTGCTGCTCAGCGTTCAAGGACCAATCCGACCCTTCCATTGCCGTATATGTGACTTCAAATGTCACAGTAGCCTGAATAAACCAGCATTTAAAATAATAATAATAATAATAATAATAATGCGAAAAAGCCAAATGTAAAATAATATTTACCGCTATTGGCTTGTTATTAGCATCGAGTAGAGTATCGGCGATGGAAGACTTCCCTTCATGTATAAGAGTTTGTAAGATAAGACAGTACGAACCTACAAATTTATCACTGAGATATCTATTGCGGATAAAAAGTTCTATCTGCAACTGTTCTTGGCTTTGCAGTGGATGACTCACTTGCCAGTCAAATCTCTGCAAACATACCATTTTATCTATAAAATTTGAGGGATGTGCCTTATACCTTAAACCATGGTTTAAACACCTGTACCAAATGTTAATTTGATTTTGTCTAAATTTACAAAATGTTACAAGTTAAGTTTATGCACAAAATTTTTAATAGGAATTTTTCTATCTTTTAAAACTTTAAAACACACACATTTATCAGTATTATTAAGAAGGGAAGCAATCCTACTGGAAATGGATTATTAAATTTAAGTTTGACAACTTGTGCTTCTTCCTTTTATTTATATATGATGAGCCAAATCCTACTGATGGGATTAATGCGTTATCTCCCATACTCGAATTAAAGTTTTCAGTTGCAACCCTCAAGTTTTTTCCTTTCTTTTACCCTTAAAACTCAATCATTTATGTATCATTTCATTTCTATTCCCTAGTTTTCAAGGTCTTTCTTTATTTTTGTATAGTTTCACTACACTTTCTTTGAACATTCAGCGAAACATCAACCTGACGTTGCAACCTGAATCCAGTAAGGCGACTGGAAGAAGACTTAAATATTTTCTTCTCAAACATACAGTCCACTAAAGTGAGCCCTTTTAATGAAAATGGTTATGATCGAAGTACATCAATCCAATCAGTTGAAAAGGGATAGTTCTCACAAATTTTTATTATACCTCAGCAACATGGTTTCTGCTCTAATAGATCAACCTGTTACTAACCCGCTCACATTTCAAAATTACATCTTAGATGCAATAAATTCTGGACACCAAGTAGAGTGTATACTGATTTTTCTAAAGCTTTTGATAAAGTAAATCACACAATACTGTTAAGGAAACTAATGGATTATGGTTTCACCGAAACTATCTTGAATTGGTTATCCAGCTTTCTCTCCGACAGAAAACAAATAGTCAAAATAAAATCATTTAAATCATGTCCCTCCGGCTTCCTCGGGAGTCTGGCAAGGATCTCATCTTGGACCAGTTTTGTTTCTTTTATTTATTAATGATATCCATCTTGCTCTCCCTTCTGCTAAATTTTTATTATTTGCTGATGATCTGAAAATCTATTCCATAATCACTTCTCCTTCTGATTGCTTACAATTACAAAATTGTATCAATAATGTGCTAACCTGATGCTCTAATAACAAACTTGCTCTTAATGTTTCCAAATGCTAATAAGAAACAACCTTTTATTTATCTCTATACTCTCCATGATGCTCTTTTAATGCGAGTTGAGGTCGTAAAGGATCTTGGTGTACTTTTTGATCAAAAGCTCAAGTTTAAAGAACATATTTCTTCAATAAAAAATAAATCTATGAAAATGCTAGGTTTCATCATCCGGAACACCTATGAATTTAAAAATCCTCTATGTTTTGTCCATCTTTATAAAGCTTTTGTACAACCCATACTAGAATATGCTACACCTGTTTGGAACCAATTATATCTAAATTATCAAAAAATTCTTCAATCTGTACAAATCAAATTTTTAAAATGTAAAAAAACATATCCGTACTCTTTTGTCTATTGTTAATTAATTTTACCCAGTAGTTACCTCATCAACGATAATTAGTTCCCCTCTTTCTTCAAGCACTCGACTCGTGTGAGTTACATCTACAAAATAAAAACAAAAGTCATTAAATATATAAGTTATATATGAGTGGAAAATTATAATGGGCTCATTATAAAACATGAGTCTAAAATTATGTTCGATTACATGCGGTAAATGAAAAAATAAACTATTCCTATTTTATGTTCAAAAAGGTGGCGATGTGCTTTCTGGAGGGTTTTGAGTTGACAGATGTTCAGGAAATGAAATTAAGGGGATTAAATATTCTTCAGCTTCCTGTTCCGGCCACTTTCATGAAATTTTAGGTATTAATGTTAATTTTTTGCGGTTAGGAAATATTAAAATTTATTTGCTTATATATACTTAATATTGAATAAAATATAAAGTATAAATGGATTCTGGTAAATTAACCATTTTAATTAACTTATGGCATCTAGAATCTAACATCTATTGGGGTATAAAAACCAAAAGGTTCATTGCCTATAAGAAATCAATATAAATTTTTAAAAAATTCATTAAAAAATGACTAGCAGTATCATATTTTGATCTGGTGATATTCGTTAATTATTAACTCCCAATCATGTTTTAATGACTTCATTCATGCTGCTTTTTATTTTATTCCACACAATGTGAATTTTTGAAGTAACTGAACTTAACTTATAAATATACCAAATTATATATATATCCCTACATGTTAAAAAAACATGCCTGGAATAAGGAAAATGGGAATAACACAATTTAAACCTTTCACTTTTGGGCCTAACCCTGTTAGATCCAAAGGAAAAGTACTTCTGAGCCTTCAATGTATTCTTCAGAAAATATCTCACTCCCTTACATTGAATAAGGACCAGTGGGACGAGAACATCATTACAATTTACGACAGTGTTTCTCTCAGGGGTATAGCCTAACGTTTAGGGCAATTTATTTATTCCCAGAAGCGAAAAGAAGATTTTATTTTTGAAATTAGTATATCTCTCTTTCATACGATTAAAATTCATCTTAAAATGAAAAAATTCTTTTTTGCCTTTCTTGCAAATATTTTATGTGTGAAGTATTGTTTTTACTCGCAGTTAGGATGGAAAAACCGCTGGGTTCCGTAAAAATAAAATAACCCTGCCAAACTGTGGCAGGTAAAGAAAGACGTCGGTCTCTGGTCCATGGAGAATGGTTCAAAAAGGGAAAAGCCGTCATACTGACAAGTCTACACAGGTCATATTTAATCTGGGCGGAAAGCGACCGCGTAGGTGCCCGTTATGGAAAGATAGAATAACAGTTGATCACCTTTTCAATTGTACAAGGCTTAGAAAATATTTTAGCATATCATCAAACCTGTGCATAGTCTCGGACACAGCAGCAGGCACATATCGCTGTTCCAGTAACTCAAGGCTAAAGGATTATTAAATGTACATAGTTTTTATGTGTGTTTGTGTTGACTTTATGTTAATTTATTTATTGAGTACTCTTTGGTGAGTATGTGACGTCTGGAGAATAAAAATAATTTATTAGCGAGAATGGAGTGAGTTCAACCCCGCCCCAAGGAATAATAAGGAATGTATTGTTTTGTTTCTATTCTGTATTTGACAATCTGAGATACAAACGAGAGGCTAGCATTTTAGGATGTAGAAGTAGTATGCATTTAAAAGCAGAGTCAGTAACCACCAGATCGAGACGCTCGAATGGTTCCAGTTTAAAACACAATACGCATGAATGAACAGAAAAAGAAGGAAAACACACAGAGGGCCTACATAAATGTATTAATATATTAATTCATATATGTTTAGCGGACATAATTGACTTATTTAATTATTTCAAGCAATTATACTTTTTTTCTAAAGTTGAGATAAAATGTATAATTAATTGAATCATTAATGAACAACTGATTGGGATAAACCAATCGTTTAATGTTGGTTCAAAATTGTGCCATGTTATGAACAAGTAACATGCACCAAGGCATGAAATGTTAACTAAGTAAAAACAAAATCAAGTTTAAATGTTAAGGATTCTTGCATTAAACATTTCATTTTAATTGAAACTAACAGGTTACCAATTTAACATGTTTTCCCTCAATTATTCCACTTGGATGAATGCGGGATATGAATTAATCCGTATATGTTTAGCGGACATAATTGACCGATTAATCATTTCAATTATTTTTTTTATCTAAGGTTTTTGGTTGGGATGAAAAACCTTAGATAAAAAAGAATAATTAATTGAAATATGAATTAATATTACACCGCTGTTAATTTTCTCAATCGATCTTGCTTTACTTGGACAATTGGAATTCCTACCAGCAACTTTGCTTTCATGAACTTGACAATTGATATTTAAATTATAAAATTGTATAATCTGTTTCTTTTTTACACTTATAATAATAATACGGCTGTCCCACTTTACGACCCTTTAGGCAAAGGCTCAACCTTTCGAGTGATTTACAGGAGTTACTGGGTCCCCAGTGTTTCTTTCGAAGAGCACTTTTCAGCTTTCTCAAATTTATTGGAATTTATAATGAGATTTAGGCCTTTTCCCAAATTGTTATACCACTGAATGCCTGCTAATGTTTGAATGAGAGTTGTAAGATTTCTTTTTTCAGAAGTTTTTGAGGCTGCCGGAGCGGAAAACTGAAATGGAAGAAAATACAAATTGCGGGGTAATGAACTGCCATGCCTAAAATCGCAATTTAAATTAAAAAAATAGCTCCCTCAAAAAAAAAGATAAGAAAAAGAAGTGTTATTGTGTTTTGTTTCTTATTATTGTTATGTAGAATTAGTTTATGTATCATATTTGAATGGAAGAATAAAAGGATAAGGATGAGCCTAAACTCATGCTGAGACTGTTGCTAGTCTGACTCCATTATTATTATTATTATTATTATTATTATTAGGAAATGTTTAAATTATGGAACAAAAATTTACAATTCTAATCAAAAAAGAAACAGAAATAAATTTTATATGTAATTTAAAATGGGATTTTTGCAAACATTTGGCCTTCCAAATTAAGAAAAAAAATTAAAACTTGGATGGCAATAGGATAAATTAGTTTACGAGTGAATGTTTGGAGTCAGAGCTTTATAGCATTCAGAATAGATATAGCTAACCTAAGATAGAAGGTTTGTATGTTAGGGCGTGAAATGACCTTAGCCGTTAAAACGCCCTTAAAAATTAATAATAATAATAGGTTCTTGAAGAGTTGTATAGGCATTATTTTTGAGAGAATTCTATTTAATCAAAACGTTTTCGACCCTTTGAATCCTCTTCAATCTGGTTACAATTTATCGGGTGGACATCCCAAAAATGTATTATTTTTTTTAAACGTTTTCGACCCTTTGACATGGGTCCTCTTAAGTGATTATCTAAGTTATCTATAGTAACTAGTAACTAAATAGTAATCTTAAGTGTTTAATAAAAATATTTGTTTAAATAAATAAAACTATATAAAAATGACATTAATTAAATACATGTACATACCAGTCGGACGTCCCAACAATGTGTAACCTTTTTTTAGTGTAATTTAATCTACCTAAGATATCCATCAATTAGGATATCACTATCTTTTTATTATTTTTTGTACATTTTCTTTTGTATATACGTATATAATATTTCTTTATTGTGAACAATTTTTTTTTGTTTCTTTTTTAAATTTAATCTGTGTTTGATAGGCCGGTGTCATTAATATTCTGTTTTATGCTGTTTTGGTGTTAGTGCAGTATATATTTTTTAATTGAGCTATTTTAACTATATATGTCTTGTTACAGTTACATGTGAGAAAGTTTACAACATTTGATTTATACATTTTGTCTTTAATTGTTTATAAACATGGTAGTTAATTCCATGCTTTATTTTTCATATATTGATATACCATTATATTACCTATTGTTTTTTTCTTCTTCTGAGAATTTTATATTTTTTCTGTTACACCATGTAGATAAATCATACCAGTTCAATTTCTTTTATCATTGTTTTTAATTTTCTTTTTAAAATTGCTGTAATAATTTCATTTTTGTTTTGTAATTAAGTATTTTTTCTATCAAATTTTTTGTATAATTATTAGCTGTAAAAGTTTTTATTCAATTGTTTATGTCACTTTTTTTTTCTATGAGATAGTAGCTTCCCTACCAACGGGGTTAGGCTCAGATGAGGAATATCAACAGGTCATTTCAGCCCCAAATGCATGCAAACTTCCTCATCGATCTATACATAGTATTAATAAACTAACTTTTTATAAATATTTCGCCATCAACGAATGGCACACACTGCTGGAAGGGCGATGGTGATGCTATATTTCACCATCACCCATCAAAACTCACACTAATAAATACATGTATTCAAACAAAACACTTAGAATATAATATATATACATTAAAATTCCCTCACATCCTCTAAAAAACGGAACAGGGGACCAGAAACCGACTGCTTTGCTCGAGACTGCTTCTTAAATCCGGCAGCATGCCTACAAGCTCTCTGTATGGAGACAAAGCATGACAGACCTCTATTAAGAGAGGGACATCAAGCAACCTTTCTCTGCACAATATAATATTAAATAGGGAATATGCCTATACGTTTACTTTTTGTTAGTATGTGGCAAATGTGTGCCATTTTCCTTTTTACTTGAGTGATTAAACAGCTGTAACGATTTTGCGCGAACCAAATGTTAGCTTGACATAATATTTTTAAAAGAATACATTAAAAAATTGCTAGAAGGTTTTATTGTTATTCGGTAGTGAGTTCTAATTCAGTAGGTAGTGAAAAATAAAGACGAGGCACTGTGCAAACAAAAGTATGTTGTTCATATAAATTGGGTTACTTCCTGCCATTTTGAACTGTCCGAAATTTCCTGATATGCCGCCGATCCAACTTTTCGACGTTCGAGTACCGGTACGCGCGTAATTGTGGTAATGGGGCTTGCCGCAGACGGAATGCGGATACCCGATAATGCCCCATACTTCACCTTCACAGACGAGAGGACCTCCTTGGTCTCCGTCACAAATGGAATGTTGATTTTTTGGAGCTGTGCAGATGTTGGCGGCCTCAAAATTGTAGCATTCCCTGCAGTATTGCTTTTGACATTCTCTCCATGTGGAAAGCTTCAACTTGGCCACCAGCAACGTGTCCGAAGTCGCTTCACCGACCGTTCCCCAGCCCAGAGCGTTGCAGACGGCCCCATTCTCCACCATCGCAGTGATCCTCTCGTCCAATTTTACCCAGTTTTCTCTCGGAAGCCTAGCCACGCCGATGTTGCCAGTAGAGAAATCCCAAGGTTCGAAGGTTTTCATTATCCCCAAATCGTACTGGATTATGTCCGGCCCCCACTTGCACGAAGGGTGGATGAACGCCATTTCCGGATATCGAATGGCCTCGGGGGCTTTCGGAGACATGCCCGCCGCTATCCTCATCTTCACCAGATTCGGGTACGGGACGACTTCGTGCTCGTTTATCTCGGCCAGGTCGGCACAGGTCGTGAGCACGTGATAATTCGATATGATCACACCGGCGAAAAAGTGATCTCCCGATGAATTTTGCACAGACACAATATAATTATATTGGGAATAATTGGCGACGTCACCTCCGGACACCGCTGCGCACTCATTCCAGTAGTTGAGTAAGAAAATTAAAATAAACCACATTTTGACCGAGAAATGATAATAAATCTTTTGTTTTTGAAAATTTTGAATAACGTAAAAATGTATTGTCAAAGAGAGATTTTACATCACGTTCCAATGAACTTTTACACCTGTGATTATAAAATCATGTTATTGTGTCGTAAACGCTCATTTTTTCAAGAAAAAAAAAAACCGTGTACGCCATTATAACCAGAAACGACAAAGTTAAAACAAGCATAACAATGGTTTTAATATAATACTCTTAAAACGTTTGATATTTTAAATTACGATTGTTTGCTATTATTATTCTTCTTTATGCCCAACGTTGAACTTCTGACAAATTAATTTCTTGCTACTAACAGAGCAGACATCAGAAACAACTTTTTATCGTCATATCTCGTTTAGAAAAGTGCCACGATTACCCAGGACGATGGCTGGGGTATAACTGATGAAAAAAAAGACGAGTTCGTTGACAGACTCGATTAAAGCTTAAATTGAAGGATTTTTTGTCTGTTTAATGTTGTGAACAATTGACATCAGTACAATTACAGGCGAATCGATTTAAATTTGTTGAATAACAACCATAAACGGAGTTATTTACACAGTCATTCTCATAAACCTGGTAAATGTGTTTAAACTCGGTCAAGGGATCACGAGCAAAAATTACCGGAGAAAATTTCAGTTAAAAAAAAAAGTTCCTTCACGTTTCCTGTACGGCTAAAATGTTTTATACAAAAGTGTATTTAATTAAAGGCACGGAACCGGCCCGACAAAAATTACATTAAACGTTTAATATAATAATGAAAAACATTTACAAAGAAACTTCTACTCGGCAGTTATTGATTATCTGAACGAATATCTCGCACACTTCGAAATTGAAGTCGTGTGCCATCCGTTAAACAAGAAGAAATAATATATTTCTCTGTCAGTCAAGGCCTGATCATAAATTACCATTCGTTTATTTAAATTTACCACTTTAAAGTTAAGATAAACTTAAAGTTAAAAAAAGATAAAAATGTAAATCAATAAGTTTGAAAGAATATGAGATCTTATTTATTTAAATTTATCATTATAAAGAAGAAATTATTGCAGAATTCTTAAACTGCTGGAAGACTTACATTTTCCTGTTGCAAAAAAAACTTAAAACTGATCCTTGCGTGTTTATAAGCAAATAAATCTTATATATAATACATAATATATATGCTTATTTCTAAATTTTACATATATAAATATTTATATATGAGCTATATATGTAATAGCTTTATTACATTATCTAGCTTCAAAATGAATAGTCCTAAAAAACGGTAGTGTGATATAAAGATTAGTGTAACGTCAATGTTATTAGTCAGCCAATTTTTAAATTTAATATACATAGTGTGACAAAAAATAGGGTTTTATAATATCATGTTTGTAAGAGAGGAAAGTGTTTTTTTTTTGCCCCAAAATCAATTTTTTATTTTTTTATTTTCTCGCCTCGATCAGCTTCCTTTTCTTGTGAGGAGGTATGTAACCTTGTAATAAGATGGATACATTTTTATTGGTTAAAAAAAATGGTGAAAATCAGCAATGAGTGTTGTTATTACGAGCGTGTATTTAGTGCCGGGGATTAAGCGATAACGCGATCGCTTGGACCGTGCCAGAGGTCGCCGAAGAGAACAGTGCGGTAAACAACTACGAGTGGGAAAAACGAATAGAGATTCTTCGGAAAACGGCTCGTCCGGATTTTTTTTTCCTTCGTGGGTATTTCAATTTTTGGAGTTTCCACCGGGCGCCTTCCTCACCAGACCACGGCAACGAGCGAGGACTGTCTGTTCGCGGTTTTCGGACAGGATATAGAGGCGGCCCCAATTCTCCGGAGATTTTCTCTTTATTTGGAGCGGGAAACCTACGATTCCCAAGTAAAATTGTTGGTTTACGGGAAAGACTGCATGAAGAAGTGATTTTTGTTTGCTTTAATTTTAGCGATTTTCTATTGTTAATTTAGATGATTAAGTTTTAATTCTTTTAAGTTAGTCCAGATCTGGTTTATTTTTTATTTTATAGCTGGTTAAGGAAACAAAGTACTTATTTTAATTTCACTCTGCTTAGTAATAATAAATCGCCCCATTGTTAAGAGGATTCTCATTTCTTTTTTTGTGTTTTATTTCCCTCCTTATATACTATAATCATATATATAATTATTATAACCTCCTTTTCTTTGTTTGGCTTGATTACTTTGCATGGCCAGGTACCTCGTAAATATATGAATAATCATTTAAGCAGAGGAATGCGATAAGGAGAAGGTAAGGTTGCTGATCAGGATTTTAGTTCAGTAAGCGGGTATATTTATCGGTTGTTAATTGTATTTTGAACTTTTATTCACTTACTGATGATTGCTTGTAAGCAGTTATAAAATCATTTTAACAAAATAATTGACTTGAAACAACAAAGGCGTATGAAAATAAATCCCCAAAAGTCTACCCTAGTTGCATTCACTTATCGCAGAAGATTTAAAACGGATATCATGGATGCAGCTCGGGTATCTGAAGTTGATTCCGTCAAATATGTAGGCATCATGCTGGATAAGAGATGAACATGTTCGAAACATATTAGTGATCTGTTTAACACGTCTTTTAAAGCCCCTTCTTGACAAGAGTTTTTCACTTTCACCCTTCGACGAAAGCTTTGCGTCATTTTTCCTGGGGTCTGCAAATGAATCTTAATTAAAAAAAAAAAAACTCCAAGTCAACCAAAATCGGATTCTGCGGCTTATCAAGAATATATTCGGAACTCTATACTTTATCATGATCTAAATATACCATACGTCCCCGAATTGTTGAAAGAAGTATGTATGAAATTGTATCAACGCATTACTGAGTACCCGAATAAAATCTTAACTGATTTTGTCTAGCCAACAACACATGAACTTAGAAAGCAGAAAAGCTTCCACCTTGCAGTTTAAATAAATTAATTGCAAAAAAATTGTTTCGTTTTGCATGGTATTGTTATGTCCAATAAACATTTTCTTTATCGTGCCAACCTTTAATCTTTATTGAGACACGACACACAATAATGACGATAAAGAAAATGTTTTTCTAAACCTAATCACATCAGACCGCAGCTCACGATCTCCAAATAATATTAAATACCACACATTATTCTTTAAATTTTAACTTTTTATTTTTTCTTAACTAGATTTTTCTTCATTTTATTAACAAATAATTTATTGGTTAATTTATTGAGTAATTAGTGTATTGTTGGATCGGGCGCACAAGACCAACACTTCTACAACACTCCGGCGTCTTGCGGGTTTAGCATACAAGGGGCGCCGTTACTTTTTACATAAATATTTATTTTATGGCAACCTCTCGTCTAGATTAAGAAGATTCAAACGTACAAAAAATTACATTTAAACACGAAACTTTTATTTTATTATAATTTCGAATGTCAAATGAATTTCAGTCCTCAATAAAGAATAAATTAAAGTTTAATTATAAATGTTTTGCTCAATACCAAATTAAAACAAAATAAATTCCTCTGCTTTTAAAATGATAACGAAACTTGTAAACTAATAAAATAATAAAATAAATTCTGTCAAACAACGTTTCGAAATGCATGTAAGTATTATATTTACTAAGGCGAGATACCCTCTTCATTCTAGTTCAGACACCCCGATACACTTGATAAGAGCAAACGTTCTGGACAGTGGCTGGACAAAAGAGAAAAAGCACCACACTTTCCAAACTCATCCAAAACTCCATTCCAACTCATTAAAAAAGGTGATGGTGACTCTTTGTTGAGTTTTAATTGGGTTGATTTATTGCAGATTCTTGAATCCTGGACAAACAATCAATGGCGAAATGTACTGCTCTCAAATTGAAGCAATGCACCAGAAATCTGCATTTTTGAAGCGATCTTTGATCGTTCGGAAACGGCCGATTCTGTTACACGACAAGGCTTGGCTCCATGTCTCACTCGAAAACTTTAGATATTGGTTATGAGGTTCTGCTTCACCCCGTCCTATTCTCCAGTCTTTACGTCTACCGACTACCATTTTTTTCATACAACTGAGCAACGTTTTAAAACATAAAAAAATTATTGATAAAAAGTCGTTAGAAAATGCAATTATATAATTGGTTTATAATAAAGGCTCAAAATTCTTTTCAGAGGGTATAAAGAAGTCGCCGTCACGTTGGGAAAAGTGTATTGAGAATTATGGAGGGTATTTTAAATAATAAAATATGTTAAAAATCATTTATTTAATTGTTTTTATTTTATAGCCATAATTCTGCATTTTTCCATAATTTATTTTTATGTCAGCGGCCGTATTACTCGTTGACAAAAATATATAATTTTTTTTTTTATTTATTTATTTTTTTTTATTTTTATAGTGTCCATCCTCATTTTGTGAAACTCCATAATAATTTGATTGAAGATGGAAAATATTTCGAATATATTTTATAAAAATTCAAATTATTTTATAGTGCTTTTTCAAAACCTGCATCATTTTTGCACCAGCCCAATAGAATTATCATCTGTACAGAATTGGTACTTAGTTGTTCATTAAAAAAAAAAATAGAGTTAAAGTTCGAATATTCCCGAATAATACTTAAATTAAAACGGTTTAGATAAGCGTTGTTTGTTCACAATCCAGTTAAATAAAGCCATTGTTTCACGAATGTAAAGTGCCTGGAAAATGAGACAGTTTATCCTAAATAATTATTTGCTACAATAATAATTTTTATTATTGATAAAAATTGTAGAAAACGATACATCTACAGGTCCATCACTCTGCTAACCCCAGGAAATATTAAAGTACAAATATTTGTATTTAGGATGGATAGTAATCAGGGTTGTAGTCAGACAGCCCTGATATATTTATCGATCGCCAAGCTTTCGGCCTATATTTGACCATCCTCAGGAGTCCACTTACGTACAACAACAATATATTAGACCAAACGAAGTAATTCTTAACATTTTTGAACAATAAATATTTTGTAATAAATGAACTTACGCGATATATAATGTAGATATATAAATTACAGAAGCAATAATCATTTATTAACGTAGATGATTATTTGAAAGAACAATACAATGCAAAACAAAACAATTTTTTTGCAACTAAATTTATTTAACAGCAGGGTGGATGCTTTTCTGCTTTCTAAGT